CTACTTCGAGTTGGTGTTGCTGGCGCCAATCTTCGCGGCTTTGAGCTTCCTAAGGGCATCAATGCAATTCTGCCTATTTTCCTTCAGGGGTTGATGAATGGCACTGCTGATCAGAGAGTCCAAGCTGCCCTTGGTATCTCAGATATTGTCGACAGAACAAGCGAGGCTTCGCTGAAACCTTTCGTAACACAAATCACTGGTCCTCTCATCCGTGTTGTTTCTGAGCGGGCCACCGAGGTCAAAGCTGCAATTCTGCTGACGCTGAACAACCTTCTGGAAAAGATGCCCACAGCACTAAAGCCATTCTTGCCGCAGTTGCAACGAACTTTTGCCAAATCACTAGCTGACACGTCTAGCGACGTTCTCAGGAGTAGGGCAGCAAAGGCTCTTGGCACTTTGATCAAGTATACTCCCCGTATCGATCCATTGATCGCTGAACTGGTTACTGGATCTAAAACGACTGATCCAGGTGTCAAGACTGCCATGCTCAAAGCGCTGTATGAAGTCATCAGCCGTGCCGGTGCGAACATGGGTGAAGCTTCCAGGACGGCAGTCTTGTCTCTGATCGACATGGATACTGATGAGCGGGACGAGACCATGACTGTTACTAATGCTAAACTGTTGGGTGCTCTTATCAAGAACGTACCTGAGGAAGCTGCAACATCCCTGCTCAAAAATAGAGTGGTTACGTCTCATTTCAGCAGCTCATCGGTACTGGCTCTGAATTCTGTACTCGTCGAGTCACCAGATATCCTGTTGCAGGGTGCACTAGCAGATGAATTGCCCGACTTGCTATGCCAGGGCATGGCTAACAAGAGCGTAAGTAATGTCTTAATTTTAAAAAGGTTGTTATACTTACTTTTTCTTAGACATTCGTAGCCGATAACTTGATTCTGGCCACCGGCAAGGTCCTCCTTTCATCCCCTCCCAAGAGCTTTGATAGCATCAAGAAGATCTTTGAGACTCTAGCCGAAGTCATCCAGCCCGGGAAACCCACTGACTCCAGACGACTAGCCCTTGTGGTCGTGCGTACCCTCAGCAGAACAAACATGGATCTTGTTAGACCGCACGTTTCCCTACTGGCAGCGCCTATTTTTGCCAGTGTGAGAGATCCCGTGATCCCTGTGAAACTGGCCGCTGAGGCGGCTTTCGTGGAGCTGTTCAATGTTGTCGATGAAGATAGCAAGGTGTTTGACAAGTTCATGGCAGGTCCAGGGGCTGATTTGCCAGCTAATACAAAGAGAAGCATGGCCGACTACTTCAAGCGGGTGGCTATGAGGTTGGGAGCTCAGGCTAGAGAGAGGCGGGAAGCAGAGGGCGGCCAGGGTGGATTGGGTCTGTCTAATGACGAGCAAGAAGACGAGAAAGAGATTTGGAGTGTTGGCAAGCTGGAAGTGGCTGGTGAATCATTTGCATGAGGTTAGATGAGTAGAAAGGAGTAAAATATATCACCAGCTGTATGCTTGACTTTTCTTACATATCCAACGAAATCCACGTTGAATTTTATTACTTAATAGTAAGTATAGATGTTTGGATTGATCCCCAGTCATCTATCTTGTTGCTCCATTTATTCTGCTGTATGTCCTACAATGTTCCGAGTGCTAATCGGTACACCTTCCTTGGTTGGTACCCAAGGTAGTTGTTTGATTGGCCAGTGTGCAGTGTGCACTTTTGGCTCTCCCTTCACGATTTCATTTCATCACGTGACACTACCTGGTTCTGTCGTGCTGGATGACTCATCAGAGCCCTCGCTTAGCGCCTTTCGGCCGGGCCTAGTGCACGTGAACCCACAAACTCGTAGTCAGTTTGTGCGTACCCAAGAAATTCTGGCCACCGAAACCCCTCTCAGCCTCTTTATCCAACCCTCACACCCATCGAGGACCGGCCATCACACCAAACGACAATCAAGATGTAAGTATCAACATGCCAGCGAAAGCGAAAAAGAACATGATGTGTGGAGGGCGAGACGATTATCGATGCAAAAATATATTTTTCTGGGATGTGTGGACGGCTGCGCGGCAATGGTTGATGAATGCAGAAAGTTTGTCACCGTGTGCAATCGCACAACGTACCCGCCCAAAAAAAAAGTTGAATAGGAGGATTATTTCAACAGGACGAAGGGGGGAAAAACAACCACGCCTACAAATACGCATCATGATCGGGAAATCCTTTGGGTGTTTCGGATTTGCTTGTTCAATGGGCTAACATGGTGTTTTTTTCTTCCTTTTAGGGTCAACCTGCGAACTCAGAAGCGCCTCGCCGCGTCGGTCATCGGCTGCGGCAAGCGCAAGATTTGGCTGGATCCTAATGAGGCAGGCGAGATCTCCAATGCCAACTCTCGCCAGACGATTCGAAAGCTCGTCGCCGATGGCCTCATCATCCGAAAGCCCGTCACCATGCACTCGCGAAGCCGTGCCCGCGAGCTGAACCTTGCCCGAAGAGAGGGCCGACACCGTGGCTACGGTAAGAGAAAGGGTACTGCCGACGCCCGTATGCCCAGCCAGGTCCTCTGGATGCGCCGCATGCGTGTCCTCCGCCGTCTCCTCGTCAAGTACCGCGCTTCTGGAAAGATCGACAAGCACCTCTACCACGAACTGTACCACCTGAGCAAGGGTAACACTTTCAAGCACAAGCGTGCTCTAGTTGAACACGTACGTCTTTCTATCACCGACTCGTCGCATATAATTGGGAGGGCCGTCGCTTCAAACGAGATGTCCAAAATTGGATTACTCTTGTAGAAGCGAGCAGCCACAATTTCATGCAGGCGAAACAATCCTTTACACATATAAACAACGAAACTGAATGCTGACCAACATGTGCAGATTCACCGTGCCAAGGCTGAGAAGGCCCGTGAGCAGGCCATCAAGGATGAGATGGATGCTAAGCGTGCGAAGACCAAGGCTGCCCGTGAGCGCAAGTTGGAGAGAGTGGCTGCTAAGCGAAATGCTCTGATGGCTGAGGAGTAAGAACCAAAATAGACCTATGATGATAGTGCTATTATTTCGGTCTTGAGGGGATGCTGCTGCATTCGGAGTCTACGGGTTGGGTCTTTTTATTACGCCCTTCTGGTTTTCTAGTCGTACCGGTGGGGCTTCTGGCATGTAGCATTGAAAAAATGGATCATGATGCACATTATAGGGTTGATTTGAATTGTGAATGTTCGGTATGCTTGTGTGCCGTAGTCGAATGAATGGTGTATCTCGTGTGGACGACGCGATGTGTGGCTGGTTGGATATGAACTATAATAATTGCCTCATCAAGCTTTGAGTCATTGCCGTATGTTTAAAGTCTTGAGCAGTACCAATGGCCGTTAACCAGAGCCAAAGCTCACAGGCACAGTTTTTGATCCTTGACCAGGCTTGAAGTCTCAAACGCCTTAAGAAAAGTGCTGCAGTGGGCTCACCATCTTGTCGATTTGGACCAGTCATGATCCGGATCTGGCCCGCACGAGCCGTCAGCCCTGCACTGCAGTTCTCGACACCAAAAAAAATATTCATGTATGCTATTATCAAGTTGTTTTTGTTTCACCCTCAAGACAAATGATAATACTACAAGCATGACACGAGTATCATGGAAGATTCAAGGTCCAAATGACGAGCCGTGATTTAATCAAGACACACTTGTGCCCAGGCCAAAGCACGGCGACAGCCAGCGGTGCACCATGCACACCATGTCCCAACCTCCCAACCAGTGAATTTACCTAGTTACTGCGTCAAAGAAAGGCTCCAAAGAAATTCACTCTTCCGCGCAGTTTAACGCAAGATCAACCAAACAATGGATCAGGTTCCATCATTGCCCCGTCAAGGTGGTGATTGTGTGCCAGGGCATTTCAGCATACTCCCGTTCCCTTTCCTTGTATCAAGAAAAGGGCGGAATACTATGGCTGTTAAGAGCAGGTCTCGTCACGCCCATATTTAGTTGATACAGAAGAAAGGAAGAAAAGAGGGAAGGGTTGGCGGACGGGGCAGCTAAGAAAAAGGACTGTGGAGGTGCAGGGGGGGCCAGTTGGTGCCTGGCGGCGCAAAATCACTTTTTCCAGTCTCCACAGCGCGCGCACTCGCTGTGTCTGTGACCTGGCGCTGAAGATAGCCGCGACCCGCGGTACGAGGGTGCCGTACGGGAGGAAGGAACAGACGGCGCGGTTGCCCTGGACTGATATAATTTTGTTCTGTAGCAATTGATTAAGTATTTGTTATTCTTGTGATGTGTCACGGATCTTTGGGTTTTGTATTTTTCTGTTTTTGTAGCCGCCATTTGTGCCTCGCATTGCATCACCGGCTCACCACGCCGGGTATTCCTATTACCCAATTGCAAAAGAAAAAGGCCCCGACTTGCACTGGTCCAGCACAGGACGTTGAGATAGCTATACGTAACGACAATGCACTGGAGGCACAGGCTCGGCTCGCGTGTTAGCTAATGAGAATGGGTCGGTGGCTCGGCCGCGGTCATCAAGCTCCCTCAAGAGGAATGGCCCGCTGGATCCCTGCTGGAGCGCTGCTGGCAAACTGCTGGGTCGGAAAGGCAGCGCGGGCTTCATTATCTTCGCCAGACGGGTTACGGGACATTCCAATGCGGGGATAGGCGAAGATTGGGGCAAGGAATGGAGCGACCAGCTTGAGGGGAATGGGCGGGTACCGGCGGTCGGAGCCCATCGGACCACGAATTCGAGACGTGCGACAGACTCGACGACCATGAGAGATACCAGAGAACTTGTTTGCGCCGTCAACGGCGGATGCTATCATCGTCGAGCCGCTCCGACTTTGTTGCTCTGACCAAACATAAGCTCGGTCCCGGCTCCATACCTGGCTGCTCCGTTGTCACGCTCGATTCTTCTCTTCTTCATTGATTCCGTGCCCTGTGTACAACTCTCTGGCGAAACATTGCCTATTTGAGTGCGTCATCCGAGGCTTTTCCTCGAGCTCTCCCGCCATCACGCCACGCACTCACTCCCATCTACCCCGAGAAATATCACCACAACACGACATTCGCAGGTCATAGTCATGTCTCTGCCCGGTCTGCGAGGCACTTCGCGAGCCCTTCGTGGCTTTGCCAAGCCCATTGTGGCCGCTCGACGAGCCAAGTCATCCATAGCTTTGGACGGACAGCAACAGGTTGGTGGCACAATGCCAACTTGACTTGTTCGAATTGCGTCGCTGCAGACCACCCGCTAACCTTCCTTTTTGACTACAGCTCCTCGCCACTCATCTACAGCAGGCCGATCCCACTGTATTCGATATCATTGAAAATGTACGTTTCACCGTTTTATTCCAGTTGGCGATTGGTGCCGTTTGCTCTTTGGACCGAGGTGTCAGCACTGCAGCGCGCTAACTAGTGTGTAGGAGAAAAAACGCCAGAAGCACTTCATCAACCTGATTCCTTCTGAGAACTTTACCTCCCAGGCCGTCCTAGATGCTCTTGGCAGTGTTATGCAGAGTAAGCCGACTTATACTTGTGAAGAGACCGCAGCGGTGCTGACTCGAAATGGTAGACAAGTATTCTGAAGGCTATCCTGGTGCTCGATACTATGGCGGCAACGAGTTTATTGATCAGTCGGAGCGTCTCTGCCAGCAACGAGCTCTGGAAGCTTTTGATCTTGACGCTGCGAACTGGGGCGTCAACGTTCAAGGTACGGCATAGCACTTGCTGCTTTGCTACATGGGCCGCACATATGTACTAACAATTGCTTCATCTAGCTCTTTCTGGCGCTCCCGCCAATTTGTACGTCTACTCTGCGCTCATGAACACCCATGACCGCCTGATGGGTCTTGACCTTCCTCACGGCGGCCACCTGTCCCACGGCTACCAGACGCCAACCAAGAAAATATCCTTCATTTCCAAGTACTTCGAGACGCTCCCATACCGACTGGATGAGTCTACCGGTCTGATCGACTACGACAAGCTCGAGGAGCTTGCGCTCATCTACCGCCCCAAGATCATTGTTGCCGGCGCCAGTGCCTACAGCCGTCTTATCGACTATAAGCGCATGCGCGAGATCTGCGACAAGGCCAACGCCTACCTGTTAGCCGACATGGCTCACATCTCCGGCCTCGTTGCTGCCAAGGTCCTCCCCGGCCCCTTTCCCTACGCCGACATCGTCACCACCACCTCCCACAAGAGCTTACGAGGCCCGCGAGGAGCCCTCATCTTCTTCCGCAAGGGCGTCCGTCGCACAAACCCCAAGACCAAAGTTGACGAGATGTACAACCTCGAAGGCCCCATCAACACCTCCGTCTTCCCAGGCCACCAGGGCGGTCCTCACAACCACACCATCACGGCCCTCGCCGTCGCCCTCAAGCAGGCCCAAGGGCCCGACTTCCATGCCTACCAGTCCCAGGTCCTCGCCAACGCCAAGGCCTTCGCCAAGCGCCTCGGCGAAGACAAGGGCAAGGGCGGCCTCGGATATAGCCTCGTCAGCGGCGGCACAGACAACCACCTTGTCCTCGCGGACCTCAAACCCCACGGCGTTGACGGCGGCCGTGTCGAGCGTATCCTCGAGCTCGTCGGCGTAGCCGCCAACAAGAACACCGTTCCCGGCGACCGCTCCGCCCTCGTCCCCGGCGGCCTCCGAATGGGCACCCCGGCCATGACCACCCGCGGCTTCAACGAGAACGACTTTGTCCGCGTCGCCGACATTGTCGACCGGGCCGTCACCATCGCCGCCCGCATCGACAAGACTGTCAAGGCCGCCGCCAAAGAGCGTGGTGAAAAGAGCCCTGGCAAGCTCAAGCTGTTCCTCGACCACGTTGGCAACGGCAACTCGGAGTCCGAAATCGTCCAGCTGCGAAGTGAGGTTGAGGATTGGGCTGGTACCTTCCCCTTGCCTTGGGATGCTTCTCAATAAACTCGCCTCTGCTAGATTGAGTCGATAGCTTCATGGTATTCCCTCTAGACGGATATTTTTGCTCTTTGCTTTTTGTGTACACGGGAAAATAAACATTTGCTTTTTTTGCATTGGGGGGACGGGCGTAAATGTAATTTAACTTACGTGTATAAGTCGATCAGATTGGGGGCTACATGATTAACACGAGGATCAACTCCCCGATTTCGTTGTGCCATGGCATGTGATGTGCTACTGTATACTGGCATACCATCACCTGTCGTCAGCAAACACGCTCCACAACACTGGTCTCCGTGATAAATGACGAAATATGTCCCAGGAACAGTATTCATTAAGCAAAGATCATTGGTTTGTTCAAACGCCAAGATAAATGGTATCAGATCTCTTCAAAAATGCACGCATCACTTCCCAACAACCTGCTTCGTTACCTCTCTCTCGCCAAACCGCTCATAATACCCCTTCAAAGCCCCCATTCCATCAAACACCTTGGTACCATACTGGTCCACGATAGCGTGCAGGACAGGCCAGACTGCAAAATCGGCAAGGCTAGGCGTTGAACCGGGCATGCCGACTTCAGACGTGTTCGCAGCCATTTCATCCCATGTACCTAGTTCCCGGAGAAGGGTCTTGCTCAGAGGTGTAGAGCTATCATGCTGCTTCCACAAGTCGCCTAGTTTCAGCGCTCCTTGGAATCTTGTAAACCGGAGAGCGAGATCGGCTTGATCTTTCTTGTCATGTCCATACACGGAGTTCAGGTACAGCATGATGGCTACGTCTCCGTCTACAACAGACTTGCTCGCATTATTGTCGACAAAGCGGATTGCTGCATGTGCTGTGTTGCTACTCTTTGGATCTGGCGCCATACTGCCTTTAGCAAAGTTGATGCCGTACTCAGCAAGCATTAGATGAATGCGCATGTTGGATGTCGCATCCGCGGACGCAAAGAAGCGCGGGGAGTTGCTGAAATGGAGGACGTCGAAGCCCTTGCCGTACCATTCTTCCCAGTCGAATGCCGAAGAGTTGTTTTCCGCACCAAACGCCTTCAACATCTCAACGGCCTCCGGGCTCTGCCCGTTGACGACGGGTCTGGCAGTCTCGCGAGACTTTCCTGTGGCACCCTGGCCCCAGATGCTGGTTTCGTCTTTATCCAAGAAGGTGCCGATTTGTCGAAACGTCAGAGAAATCCTGCCGCCTTTGAAGGCCAATTCTGCAGGTGTCTTTTCTCTCTCCGCGCGCTTGTCTTGCCGGATGGAGTGAAGCCATTTCATATTTGTCTTCAGACCCATGCGGCATAGAGAATTGTGAGGCAGCCGTGCACGTTGAGATTGGCGTCTTGTGTCTCCCGGAGAAGAGGCATCGTCGCGAGACGGGTCCTTACCCTGTCTCTTGGTTCTGAATACCATGGTTCGTTCTGCGCCGAGGCTGACATTGGCAATGTATGAGCCCTTGACAACGTCTACGGTCTTATCGCTGTGTTCAGAGATGTAGTCCTTGCCGTCGCGGTAGAACTGGATTAGGACGTGGTTTAGTTCGTGCCCGAGATATTTCTCGGTTTCGCTTTTGATGGCTAGGACCGTGGGAGAAAACGGCAGCAGTGGTGGCGATTCGTCTGATGGATGGCGGTAGACTGGCATGCTTCCGTCGTTTGATACCTCGCCTTGCACGGCTACCAGGCGGGGAACTTCGCCGCCTTGATGCAGCATTCGTTGCCACTGCACTTCATCGCGTAGTTTTTCAAAGGCGTCTTTGGCTAAGTCTTCATGTAGGACATTGTCAATAATGTCAGTGTCGCCCTCACATAAGCCCTTTTGCAGAAGTTGTTCCTCGTCATTGTCGGAAGTGACTGGTTGGCTGGCCATGATGTTTGGGTGGGGTTTGGCATAGGTAGATAATGCCTCTTGTTGTCTATCAGTGGCTTCTGCGATGGATGAACCAAGGTCATCTTTTTCAACTACTTGTTTGCGGGATTCCACATCCTCGGGCACCTTCTCTTTTAATTTCTTGTCTTTTCCAGCCGTTTCCTGTTGTTTCGGCTTGGCACTCTGTGAGTCAGCCTTGCTGTTTGGTGACGGGGCTGTACCATTGCCAACCTTGACTGCTGAGGGCTCAGCATCAAGCCGAAGGCCCGCCATGTGTTGCACAAGATCAGGAGAATCTGCGACCGCGATGCGATTGTCTGGCTTTCTACCGGCTGGAATAGGAGCTTTCGCAGCTCTCTTGGGCTGAAGATTTTCTAGTATTTCTCCCAAAGATGCAATCTCACAACCTGTGAGTTCGATCAGACTTCGTACTGCCGCGAGCTGTCTCTGTTCGTTGCGATAACCACAGCAGTCTTCGACAATGGTGATTGACAATCCATGGCCGGCGGCATCCAAGGCAGTGGCGTAGACTCCTACATTAGCCAATGATCCGCAGATGTAGACTTCCATGACCATCTTTGCCCGGAGCAACAGAAGGAGTTGAGTCCCTCTAAAACCAGAGTATTGAGGCTTTGACAGAATGGTGTCTCCCTTTTTCACCGCAATTTCCACAGCTGGGCTCATTAGAGCTCCCCATGATGATGACTTTACACATTTAGCTTCTGGGTGGCTTAGGAAAGCCTCGGGGTCCAATGGCTCATCTGGATTCTGAGGCAAGGCGGGAGCAGCATGTCGTCCTCGGCTTCGACGTCCTCGGTGCCTCGTCACCGGTGGTGCATCGGAAACAATGATGGACTCATGGTCCACTAATACAGGACTTGAAAATTGCGACTGAAGCCAAATAATATCGCCGTTGCCACGAAAGTTGGCAACTAGTTCAACGGCGCGATTTATGAACCCGTCGGGGTCCGAACAAGGTAAGGCTCCATCAGGATCCAGGAAATCGTTTTGGAAATCAACTAGGATCAAAGCTTTCCTAGTGGTGATCTTGGGCAGAAGGTCCTTGTCGAATGAAAACATGCTGTCAGTTTGGAAGTCTGTGCCTCCAAAAACGACGGATTCCTCAGCGAAGATATCAACAATTTTTTTTATGTGTGAGGGGTGCGTTGTGCAGCTCCCAGCAAGAATAAACGTGTAGCGTCCGTATGGTGACAGGTTTCCGAGGCTAGCTCAGTGTTGATGGCTTCCAGACAACGACAGCTTTAGAGTTAGTTTTGTCGCCGATGTAAATTCCCTAGAGGCAGCTTCATGGTGTTCCGCGAGGGCTAGGGGAGCTAGTATATTACACCGGGCTGGACAGTTGAATAGCAAGAGCAAGAATATGGCTACGGAGTAGTCTCTGTAGGTATAGTAACCATATGTTTTGTGACAGAAGTGGCCATCAGCGCATTTCGACGCCATGGAGTGGAGACTCTGAGCCACCGGTCTTGGAGTACTCGGTAGTCTGTCACCAGAACCAAGTACGAGGTCGGCACTTGGTCCCTTGTCCCTTGGGGAGTACCTCGCATCTGCTGGCGTCTGGACGTTGGCTACCGAGACATTGACGGCGGTCTGCGGGAGAAGAGGGAGGATATTGAGTTTGATGGCACAATCGGCGTAGGACTTGTGGCAGCCACCTGGGGTTGAACCCGCTAGAAGTGATGCAAATAGTGCGACGTGATTTGCGGCTATGGGCAGGCCCGTCTCTCAATTGTTGGCGTTGGGCAAGGCAACAGGATTTGTGCCACTCGTTTCGATCTTGTGGTCGAGTGATGTTGTCAGTCCTCAAAACACTACGGAGTCTCTAGTAGGCACTGGCGGTGGTCGGCACTCTGTATACCGAGTGGCTGCACAGACTGGCAGCTAGGAAGGAAGGAGCAAAGAGAGTAGGCGCCTTCCTCATGCTGATTGGAGATGAAGAGGATAGGATGGCGTTCTCCAGGCCCTACCAAGAGGGAGCCACCGACATGCCCGCCGGGGCGGCAGCAACATAGTAATATATACCAGACATGGAACAGGGACCATCAACTGCATGCCGTATGTCAATGCGATACCATATGCCCAACAGCTGCAAGTACGTATTCCATAGCCGGTAAGAAATTCTTGAATGTTATCCAATCGCAAACAGGCATATAGTCCAAGCTTGACGGACTGTACGACTTCAAAATCACAACTGAAACTTGATTCGCCTGGTTCCGGGTAGCAAGCAAAGCAAGGACGGGGCACAGACTAAGGTGCAGAAGGCGCTGCGCCAGGGAATCTGGTCACATGTGCACTCGAGCAACCTTGACGCCTAACTGGCAAGGTACCCATTGTTGTCTCCGGACCCTTTGTTGAGATTGCCTGGCAAAGATCTCGCCGTACGCATTGTAGCGCCTGCTCTTTTGACTTTTTTCTCTTTGCGAACCGTTCCTGCGGGAGAAGGAAGGTTTTGGCTGCTCCGAGTATTACTTCAGTGCCTACTTACTTAAGTAGGAAGTGGCTGCATGTCCTCAACTACTAAGTACCTAAGTACCTAGACCTAAGTACAGTAGGTACCTTTAAGGTACCTAAGCTTCCAGCATCCCTGACATAAGCCGAGCATTTGCCGAGTGTGCAGGCCTAGAGCTCGTCGCATCACCACCGCTTAGTCAAGTCGCCCGCTGATTCCATTACTCCTTATCCATTATAACCTCAACAAGAGGCACTGCTGAACACCTCTATGCTGTTGACGTGCTTTCCATATCCTCCTCAGATGCACAACCTTGAGTCGGTCCACATCCTTTCGGTTGAAGAACTTGCGTAGCCTCTGGCAAACACAGCTCCCGCTGAGAACCTCCTTCGTCAACCCACCTACAGGCTACAAGTCTCTCGAGAGCTTGCATCATGTCATCGAAACGTAGCCTCTCTCCGTCGGACTCGGATGGCAGCTCCAAGCGACGTAGGCTAAGCGGGCCACATCCTGATTGTATCCAAGATGACATCGTCTCTGTCGACATGCTGGAGGCCAGGGACGACAACGAGGTCATGGCGGTCAAGTCCTTTGCGCCCACACATCATGCCAACGCAAGGACCGGCATCCAACGTTCAATAGCTTTGGTTTTGAAACATGACGGGTTTTCTTCTGCTACGCCGGAGGCCATGGAGAGCTTCACAGCCCTCGTCGAGACGTGTTAGTTTTCGTTAGTCAACATATATCATATTGATACCATACTGACACAAACCCAGATCTCGAGTCCATAATTGAGGAGACTAAAAGATTGGCTCTCTCTTCTCGCCGCGACCATCCCGTACCTATGGACTTTGAAGCTGTTTTACGGCGGTTTAACCTACCAGTTTCATCACTGAAACCCCATTTAAAGAATCCATTACCCGCCGAAGCCTACATTCCAAGGTACAAAAGCGTTCATGTAGCCGACGACGATGCATATACGACTCTCCCCCTCCTTGGCCCTGAGCTTAGTGGTCAGCCCGACAAGAAATCAAAAAGCTACATCCCATCCAACTTCCCTGACTTTCCTAGCCGCCACACCTATAAGTTTACCCCACAAGAGGACACGAACGCGAGAGATGCCCAGAAGACACGAGAAGAAGCGGCAAGAATAGCGCAGCAAGGTGAAGATGCCCTGCGTCGGCTGGTTCGGGCCTCCAAGATGCGGAAGCAGAAGGAGGCCAAGAACTTGGTCGAAAAGGATGTACAGGGAAAAGAACGGTTCCGGCTGTGGGAATTAACCATGAAACGCTTTATGGGAGCTGAAAATCGTGGGGAAAATACGGACAATGTTGATATTGCTGATCATAGCATGATTGTCAACGGCGACGCCGTGTTTTCGCGAAAGGAGGTTTCCCGGATAGGCAAGCGATTGACAGTATTGCCTTCGAAAGGCAACTGATGTGCTGCTTTCACAAGGCATGTTGCACTTGGACGTTGCCCCGGCAAGGCGGGTTGAATGTATGACTATTGATCGAGCAAGATGTTTTGACGGCTCGAGATACAGGTGCCGCAGATAATTTTACCGTTATGATACCCCAAGCGTTGATAAATTGGGAATGGGATATATATTGGGTTGTGCGCAGGTTGCTGGGCTCGGAGTTGGGAGTTGCATTTGCAAGATGGTCTTGCGAGCAATAGTCATTATATATTGGAGTACTCAATTGTACTAGTATTCCTTTTCTTTATCAGAAACTGAGCCATGCCTGTTAATGCTGTATTGTTGATGTCGTAGTTGGTGATGTTGCTGAAAAGGTTAATACGGTATGGACAAACAAGGACATGTCACTGCGACTCGTAGCACCGACTAATTGATCGCAATAAGCCAATCTTACTATTACACAGAACCAAAAGTGCCTAAGTACTAACCAGTATCCTAGGAGAAGCGTTGACTCCAAGTCTTTTCACCAACATTGTAGCTACTCGGTACAAACACTTGGATGTAAGCTAATATTAGCGCCCCAGCAAGATGGTACACTGGCCAAGTACCCACGTACCTGCGGGACCACTTTACTCAACTCGCAATGCGGCGGCCCTAATTTTTCACCCACACAAAAAATATCCCAATTTCAGCCGAGCCACCGAGACCACTTGCAAGCGACCCAGTCCGGTTTTGCAGAAGAGCCAGCCCTCGCGAAACCCTTCAGACTTCCTTTCTCCCTCCCCCTCTCACTGCAACTCTCGATCTTCGTTGCACCGCCTTCGTCTACGTCGCCATGGCTGAACAATTGATCCTCAAGGGCACTTTGGAGGGCCACGTACGTTTTTCCTCCCACACGCCCTGTCTCCCGTCGCATTGAAGCAAAGTCTGTGTCGGTTTTGGGACCATCATATGTGCTCCGATTTTTCTATGTCAGCATGGAGAGATGGGACAGGCACAGTTTGCGACGGTTTTGATTGACAGCGGAAATACTGACTTGGTACAATAGAATGGCTGGGTCACCTCCTTGGCCACCTCCATGGAGAAGTATGTGCGATGACTTCTCGTTTTTCCTTTTGGCCAACCCTCATCTCGAAGTCGAAAATATATATCGATTCTTAGATGGAACGAAACACTAACGTTGGACACCTTGCAGCCCCAACATGCTCCTGTCGGCTTCCCGCGACAAGACCTTGATCATCTGGAACCTCACTCGCGATGAGACCCAGTACGGATACCCCAAGCGATCCCTGACGGGCCACTCCCACATTGTCTCGGACTGCGTATGTTATTCCCGGCGGACTTGCCATGCTTCGACCTATTGCCTAGGGCGATGGGCTATGTGACGGACACTTGGCTGATGCGTTTGGAACAGGTCATCTCTTCCGATGGTGCTTACGCCCTGTCCGCGTCTTGGGACAAGACCCTCCGCCTGTGGGAGCTCGCCACCGGCACCACCACTCGACGATTCGTCGGCCACACCAACGACGTCCTCTCCGTCTCCTTCTCTGCCGACAACCGTCAGATCGTCTCTGGTTCCCGCGACCGAACCATCAAGCTGTGGAACACCCTCGGTGACTGCAAGTTCACCATCTCCGAGAAGGGCCACACTGAGTGGGTTTCCTGCGTGCGATTCAGCCCCAACCCCCAGAACCCCGTCATTGTCTCCTCTGGCTGGGACAAGCTTGTCAAGGTATGTTGTGTGCAGAGTTGTGAAGAATGCTATCCTGGTCAGGGCCAAACGCAAGGAAACCAACAGACGTACCCCATTTCCACATGATGTTTTGCAAAATTATCAAGTATTTGCTACTTCAGAGCCTTTTCTGGCCATGAGACAAACTAATCACCTTTGCCTGATTTTCATACGAAACCCCTGGTTTTATCGTGGGGGTGCTACACAAAATCTCAACAATACCTGCGTCTTGGCCCTGGTCGACCAGCACTGGGGATTGCGGCTCGCTAACAAGTGATGAAACAAACAGGTCTGGGAACTCTCCAGCTGCAAGCTGCAGACCGACCACATGGGCCACAACGGATACATCAACACCGTCACCATCTCCCCCGACGGCTCCCTCTGCGCCTCCGGTGGCAAGGACGGCACCACCATGCTCTGGGATCTTAACGAGTCCAAGCACCTGTACTCCCTCAACGCCAACGACGAGATCCACGCCCTCGTCTTCTCCCCCAACCGATACTGGCTGGGCCCCGCCACCCCCCGCAGCATCATCATCTTCGATCTCGAGAAGAAGTCCAAGGTCGACGAGCTCAAGCCCGAGTTCACCGCCGTTGGCAAGAAGAGCCGAGAGCCCGAGTGTGTCTCCCTCGCCTGGTCTGGTGACGGCCAGACTCTCTTCGCTGGTTACACTGACAACATTATCCGTGCTTGGGGCGTCATGTCGAGGGCATAAATTTCTTGAAAACTTTCTTCTTCAGCTCCCTTACCTGCTTTGTAACTAAAGACTAGGGCTAAGAGAACCTAAAAAAAAGAGAGAAAAGAAATACAAGAAAATTTTGGCAAAGAAACGCAGTGTAATGTTTGCGCACGACAAGAGAGAGAGAGCGCGAGACAAAATGGGAAACAAACGCTTCTGATGAGTGAACCGGGGAGGCAAAGGACAGGGAGGCATCATCGAGTGGAAAGAATGGTAGATCATGGTGGGGCGTCATATGGCTGGCTTCATCCTCGCTTGGTTTGTAATTTTTTTTTTCTCTTATTTGATAGGTGAAGGAAGAAAAAAATTCAAATATCAACGGGGAACAAGAACACAATGAACTCTGTCCGACGAGGCGTACGACGCATTGCTGCTGGTTAGGCAAAGCCTCTGAAGGCGGCATGGGCATGGCATGGCATGTTCTTCCAATAAAGAACTCGACTTTTTTTGAACTTTGCGGAATACTCGTGCGTGAGGTTTCAAAAAAAGAGTGTGGTTGATTTTCTAATCTGGCCTATCAAAAGAGAGCGTACGTGATTTTCGAATGTCAACTTTAAAAACAGAGTGCAAGTGATTGTCCAATCTAGTCTGCAAGCGATTTCATAACAGAAAAAGCAAAAAGGAAAAAAACAGAAGAACTTTGTTCCAATACAGTCCGTGGCAGAACATAATTGCCCACAGAGAAGTATACACTACTATACCATAACATTGACATTATAGTATAGAGCGTGACGGCCAGGCACCATGTCTGGTCAAATACTTCCTGCCTCTCCCTCGGCAGCCGGGTCTCGTCATGTCCCGCCTGGCTCTAAACTCTCCTCCCATAATACCCTCGCCACACCTTCACTTCATGGATTTTGCTCATCATACATATATAACCATGTCATGTCTTCATCGAAGTTGACGCCTAGCGCATATAATAACTCGGTGAATCCAATCACATCGACGATATTGACAACGGGTTCCGGCGCGTGCAGCAAATACCAGACAATATTGAAATAAGATTCAAGTTCGGGGTCGGCCGCAGCCCAAGGCAATACCGTCAGGTTGTCTCGGCGCAGCTGAGCCGTCTGCTTATCGCGCATGTCGAGGAGTTTGCTCACGATGTTCTCGTACTTGGCAAATGCGCTCCTCGATTTTGGCCAGGGGAAGTGGTAACGGTCCCAATCCGGGCCTCCATCAGCCCGATCGAGCAACATCTGTGCTACGAAGACTTGGCAGCGTAGGGCTATGTAGAAGGGGGACTTCTTATCCATGTTGGTGAGCTCCTCGTCCTTGATGCCCAGCATCGTCCGGACGACGAGCTTTTGTGCATCCGAACATCGCATCGAATGTGAATCCGTTCTATAGTGAAGCATGCAAGGGAATCGGGTTCCCAACAAGCAGGATAACATTGGCAACTCTCCCAGTAGAAAGCCCTCGGGCTTGGGGACTCGGCCATTTAGCAGGCCGAGCAGCATCTGTACGGCTTGTGGTTGCTCCGATGTGACTGCGCGGTGCAGGCCCACGCGGAGATCCGAGGTGGCCTCGTCTGTCTTCTTGCTGTAATAGTCGAGCAGCAGCTTGACGATGCGCGGGTTTTTGTTTTCTATAGCATAGACCAGTGGTAGCTCGTAGAGGGGATCTTCGGTTTCCATGCTAACGCCCAGATGCAGTATTTGCTCTACAACACGTTCTCGCTCCCATCGAATTGCAGCACGCAGTGGTGTTTCTGGTTCGTCGCGCAGTCGAGTAGGGCCTCTCTCGCAGTGGGCGCCGCGCTTGATTAATAGCAATGCAATGTCTTCATGGCCTTGTTGAATGGCCTCCAGTAGTGGCGTGTTGAAATATTCGAACGTTTTGTCTATGTTGATATTCGGATGTGAAAGTAGTAGCTCTACCAATGGCGTCGAACCGGATCGGGAGGCCCAGAATAGCGCTGTGTATCCGTCGTTGCCAGCATAGTTTACATCAGTCCTGCTAGCGTGGACTAATTTCGGTGCGAGAAGTCTGGGCAATTCCCGTGCTAGTAGTACTAGCAATTCTGAATCCATGTCTTCGAGGTCTTCTTCCTTGACATGATCCAGTAGCAAATTCACGATCTCAACTTCTCCCAACGCAGCTGCATAGGCTAGGGGCGTTCTGTTGTCGCGGCATCTCGAGTGAGCCCTCACGGAATACTCCTCTAGTAATAACCTTGCGACGCTTTCGCGTCCGTACGCAGCAGCAAACGACAGTGGCGTTCGACCATCGATATCTGGCTCGTCTGCGAGAACACCAGGTTGCGATAGTAGCAGCTTTACCACCGCTGAAGAGCCAAACCTGGCAGCTTCGATCAACGCACACTGATTGCTGCTGGTTCTTGTCCTTGCATCAACATTAGGCCTTGGTAGTAGCAGCTCGACGATGTTTTCGTCACCCGTTGCAACTGCACATGATAGTGGTGTTGCACAATAGTCATCTTTCCCGCCTTTGTAAAGATCAGGGTTTACCAGTAGCCGTATGACTTCTTCATTCCTCGCTTCAACGGCCTCTGATAGTGGCGTTTGACCATAGTTATCTTCATGGTCCGCGTCGACCCCATCCTGAGACAGCAGAAGCTCTACGACTTCTTTACTCCTAGCAGCAGCGGCACACATCAGTGGTGTTCGATTCATTCTATCTCTCTGGTTTGCGTTGACCCCATTCTGAGATAGCAGAAGCTCTACGACTTCTTTACTCCCAGCAGAAGCAGCATAGGATATTGCTTCTCTGCCATCGTCGTCAATGTGCCCTATGTCGGTATCGGTATAACGCGGCAGGAGCCGTCTTGTCAACACCAGGTCACCCTTCCCGGCGGCATACGACAACGGTGTTCTCCCGTATAGGTCTGGTTTAGCGACATTGACGCCTTCTGCATCGAGTAAGAGATCAATAAGTCTTTTTTCCTCCCGTTCAATGGCATAAATTAACGGAGTCTGGTATTCGAGAAGAGGGAACAATGAATTTGCATCGACCTCTTCTCGCTTCAACAGTGCCTCCGTCGCCTTTTCATTCTTTGAAAATATTGCATGGGCCAATGGATTGTTCCGCTGTTGACATATTGGGTTTGCGTCAACAGGACTTTTGGCAAGCATTTTGTACAAAAATGCTACGTCCAAAGCCCTGGTTTTGCCACTAGTCGCCGCAAGAAGATGTAGGATAGAAATGCCATCCTCCTCAATGTGAGCAACATGTCGAGAGCCAACCATTCGTTCAAACGGGGGAATTGCGTATAACAGAGCGAGGAGAGGGCGGGCTGGTAGCAAATCAAGAATGGCTTGCAGCGTCTCAATAGGCAGTTTGCGTAGTGGACCCGAGATGGTCCACCGGCAATCGTCGAGCGGATCTGGTGTTGAGGTGGTCGGCGACATGATGTGAGCTTTGCGACAAGAGGAGGGTCGCACGCTGCGTCGTTCGGATGCCGTAATAACTCAATCTCGGGCAAGCAGGTCTTGCTGCAGACTGTACAGTCTATGGGAGAATATGTTAGCCTATTCAGAAGTATACGCCAACATACTAGAGGGTGCGGTAGTTAGGTACCTGATTTGGTAAAATGCTTTGTGCCTCCCAGTGTATGCTTGGCTTGACACTTTGTTGGTGGGCAATTAAAAAATAAAGTCGAGTGCAGGTAGGGAGCTTAATATATGTGAACCCAAGGCAGAAGAGCTTGAATGCCAAGACATTGATTTCTACCGAGTCCTTCACAGTTTGCTCGGTGATCGCCTTTGTTGCCACTACAGTATGCACAGCTCTTGAACACGCAAGAAACAGAGATGTCGAAAAAAGGGGTGCGACAGCGGGTCTAAGAGGTGTGAAACTTCTTTATTCATCCTTTGTATAAATTCGCATGGTGTCTAGTCAGCGCCCCCGGTACTGATAATGTACATTCTACATACAATCGAGGTGGCCCCTGGCCCTGAATCTGCACCTGGAACCCATGATTCTGCAGAGACATGTCAATGGCAGCACCACACCAACTCTGCCTGAATAACCTGGAACATGGCGAGTGAGCCGAGTCGCATTCTGGTCTGTGCGCTCACATGAATGGTGGCAGTGAGAATGGGTAGCTTGAGTTCTTGACGCGAAAGACGCTGAGCAGGAAGCTATAGATGAAGAACATGGCGGCTCCCCAGACCAGTACAGCAACGGACTGCGACTTGGGGCTGGTCATGCGTGGGACCTTGGTGGCAAGTGCGATGGTGCAGAAGCTCAGGATACCGTCTACAAAGACAAGGTTAGATCATGAACTCCACACAATGGAAGAACACTGCCGTCGGAACTTACAGATTGCGGCAACAATCTGGACTTCAAGCCCAAGTTGGTTCTGGAACCCACCAGTGAAGTAAGTGATGCCGCCTTTGCCATCTCCCGCGACGTAAGGGACCTTTCGAATGTGGTTGAACATGTGGCCACTAATGAAGAGCAGAATGGCAATCATGCTGCCAGCAGCCCAGAGATTTCGGTTCTGTATAATAGGAAGAATATATGGTGACGCAGAGATCATTGCGGTGACGGCGCCAGCCACAAAGGTGAAGAGAGACGCCCATTTCAACCAGTTGATAGGGCGCTTGATCTCAGGGTGAGGGCGGCCAGGAAGATGGCGGGCCAACCAATTTCGGACTTGTTCAGCGGCGGGAGGTCTGCGCAGTTCATTCATTAGCCTACCGTGGACAAAATTCACTCCATTCTTATCGTTTCTCACCCAGTGGTAAAGTCATAGCGAATGGGTTCGGCAGAAGCGACGGCGTGGGGACCTGTCGTAGGAGGGAAAAACATCAAGACGGGAGCTGTTTGAAGACCGAGCTGCACAAACATCATGTTAACGCTGTAGACCATGAATTTCAGCCGGCAGTCTTCCATACCGATAAAAAGGTTTCTCTGCCCTCAGTGAAATCCAAAACACCAAAGAACAGCCGAGACTCTTGTTGCTTATCACCTCGAGCCCAGCTCTGGGCGATCAACTCCCACTCTGGTTTGAAGTCCCTGCAAAGCTGGCACCCGAATCGAGCGTCCTGGGCCGTCAAGACAATGGCAACGGAATAATCCCGTGGTGTGCTCGTCAGTGACTTGTACGAAACATCGTTGAGCTGGAGGGGAGACGAGAGACGGGCGAGACGGTTGAACTTGATGAATCTCTCCTCGGTGGATTGCTCGGCGGCAAATGCACTGGCGACAAGCGCGCTGGCTGAAGCTAGTAAGGTCAGGAAGAGCATCGTGGACAGCAGTGAAACTGTCGTTGTTGCCAATTGGGCTTGTGAGAGAAGCAGTGATTGGGGAGGGAGTTGAAGCTCACGGAGCTCCGTCTGCAACATTGAACTTGAAGCTGAGGTGTCCTCACAGTGGACTGGTAACGGTGGCTTGGCCAGGAGCTTAGCCACAGAAGACGCCACACTTCGCCAGCCAGGGTATACGCTAGATTAGTCAGCCATCGCCATGGAGACATCACGTGCACCCCGCTATTTCCGAACAAACGGCTGCACGGTTACGCTAGGCTGAAAACAGCAACATGTTTACTCCTTTTGCGGGATGCCCAAGCAAAACACAGGACCACCCAACAGTCGCCCAAGGCCACCAGCAGCCAGCTTCATCACCCACCAAGATCGTGGTCGACAACGACAGACGACTATATCTGGGGACCGAACCCATATGACAGAGGTTGCACGGGGATTGCAGCCAACGAGCACACATTCTTGCGTTCAAAGTCTTCATTTGCCGCGTTTCTCACACCCAGAGAGTCTGGCCTGCCTGGGAGGCCACACAAAATATAGCAACTATGGGCAGCAACTCAAATGAGGTACGGCATTTACTGGCATTTTGTCTCTGCATACTTGGTAGGGGCTGCAAATGCTAACTTGTTCTAGCGCCTGGCGCGCATTCACGAACTTGAATTGCTCAGGCAAGATGCCCTGCACAAGACTGAATCCATCACCCGCGACGAAGAAGCTCGACTCTTGCAGTTGCGGCTATTAACGATGCGAGACGAAAATGCCAGTCTACGCGAAAAACTTGGCCAGAAAGACTTCAAGATTAGCACACTTATCAGAGATTCTGATCAAATTAAAATCGACTTAGATGACAGCAGGCAGATAATTCGTGCCCAAGAGGCACGGCTGAAGAAGCAAGATGTCGACAGGGCCAGCCTCAAGGTATGGCGAGACGATGATGGCTGCGGGGTCTCAGTCACACTCACTAACGTCTTCTAGGCTGAAATTGAAGAAGCATTAAACGGCACAATGCAGGATTCTGGAAAGGCCATGCAAGAGAAATTCGCATTGACGAGGGAACTGAATCGAATCAAGCCGGAATTGGAGCATTTGCAGTCACAACTCACCAGCTTCCAAGCGACAGTGGCCGAGAGAAACGATCTCCGTCGACAGCTAGACTCTCTCGAAGTGGAACTGGAGAATGAAAAGCGGTCAAAACTACGGTTACAATCTAGGGATGATGACGCCGCAACGACAGAGCTAAAGTCGCGGCTGGAGAAAGCCGAACAGAAGCTCGCTGCGGAGAAACGAGAGCGCGAGAAGATGAAGAAAGAGCACGAGCGAGAGTTAGCCTCGGCAAACGCAGAAAACGAAAGACTGGAAGAGCGTATCTCCGACCTGAAAGAAAAGTCTAAGGCTTTACAATCTGAACTCAAGGGGGTAAAGGAGCAGCTAGAGGACGCGCAATCTGAGCTGGTTTGCGACAAGCCGCACGTTCTTCCCCGCGGAGGCGAGGAGAAGCCTAGGAAGGCTGTTGCTTTGACAGCTGACGTTGGAAAGAAGCGTCGTGCTGCAGCAGAGATGAACTTTGAGTCAATCACGATTCAGACGCCAGGCAATGACATTGTCGCGCGGGAGAGACCAACGAGGAAGCGTGGAGCAGACAAATCTACTGTTGGGGAGAAATCGGCCTTCTCAGTCACGCCATTCTTGAATCGAAACAAATCACTCACAGATGAATCTGGCCAGGAGTCGTCCCATGATGTATCCGCAGAAGCTGATCCGGATCCCGTGCCAGACGAGCCAGCTGATCATGGACCGCCTTCAGAATCAGAGGACGAGGAGGAGCCCGCTCCTAAGCCCAAAGTCTCCTTTAAATCTACTGTTTCGTTCAAATCCCCAGCTAAGCCCAAAAAGACTCGTGGGAGACCGCCAAAGGCAGCACCAGCGCCTCTCGCCGAGTCCACTCCCGCAAAGACAAACCGCGTCATGAAAACTCGTGGAACGCCCAAAGTGAAGTCAATACCAGACATTTCTGTCGAAAAGTCCGCCGACAATTCAACCAGCACAGACCAGGAGAATGTTCCTATCGCTGCTTCCAAGAAGGCAACCTCTGTTTTGCAGTCTAAGGCACCAGAAGGAGAAGTCAAGAAAAAGAAGCGCAAGTTACTGGGTGCTGCAAATGCGACGTTGTTTGACGATGACGATGGCGAAGCGATTGCCAAACCCAAGCCTCAACCTGCCACTGGCAGGAGGACGCGAACCGTTCTCGGGGGCGGCGTCAGGAACGCGTTCGCGGCGGGCTCCTCGTTCTCACCTTTGAAGAGGGATCGGAGAGGTGTCAACGCTAGCTTCTTGGCTTGAGCGTAACTTGATGGTGTCATGATTGGATGAGTGCAAGAGCGAGTTTGGAGTAATTGGATGTGCATTATTGGGCTTGCATTAGTGGTGTTCTTTGTTTTATGAATATATGGACATGGGAATAGGTTTCAATAGGCGTATTGTAATATTATTGAGCAGTCATTTGACTGCATGGTCATTTTTCAACCTCCTTCTTCATGTTTTTCTGTCGGCATTTGGTTGTGCTCCTAGTATTTGCTAAGGTCATAGGGTGGGAGACAAGAAGTATTTGACCAGGCCAGGTACCTGGCTATCACGCTTTATATTATAAAAAATTAAGGTATACTTTTTTGTGGGTAAACATGTCTTATTATAGATTATATATTAGCGGTTCCTTGGTGGGCGAATATGTTCTGCCACAGACTGTGGAAGTTGTTCAGGGTAACCACTTTAGAGTTGGCATGTCTAGTAGACCCACATCAGAACCCATCCAACTGAGAGTAAAGATAGCCAGACTCTTCATGGAATACCGAGTCCAACATCACACATGAACCACAAACTACGTCTCAATCCCAAACCATGATAAACTTCAAATAATGAGCAGGATATAGAATCTAGGCAGCTGAGATCGGTCCAGCGCCACTAGTCCTCTCGCAATGACCACTCGACAACCCCTTCGGATACTGAGCCTCCTATGCTCCCGCCAGTGTACCAGCTCTCGCCGTCTCGCAGCAGCCACATCCACCCTGAAGGCCGACCTCCGCTGGTCGTCATCCAGCTCGCGATGGAAGCAGCGCCAAGTAAGGGACGCATTCTCGCGAGGAGCAAAAGTCCAAGGCTTGAAAAGCAGAGCTGCCTTTAAGCTCCTCGAGGTAATCTACACCGCGCCCCCCACCAACATATCGTCTAATGCGTTGCAGATGGATTCCAAGCATAGGCTTTTCAAGCCCGGACAGACTATTGTCGATTTGGTATGAAGGCCGTGTCTCGCGAGTTTACTTTCAGTCACTGACGGCGGGGTAGGGATACGCGCCGGGCAGTTGGTCGCAAGTATGTGAACCGGCCCCTTCTTACTGGAAGCTATTTGGTGTGAAAAATGGTGGTGTATTAATAACGTAGGTCGCGCAGGAACGGACCAGGCCGCACGGGAGGGTCATTGGGATCGACCTGATTCCCGCGCAGCCGCCGCGCGGCGTGGCCACTTTCCAGGGGGACTTTCTGTCGCCCGGTGTGCAGAGGCTTGTGAGGGAGTTTATCGCCCGGACGGGGAGGCCTGTCGAGAAGGTTGAGAGGGGGGAAGAAGGGGAGACGATGAGCTATATTGATCGCGAGAGACGGGCTTCCGAGGAGCGGGAGGGGAATGGGACGTCGGCGTCGGTGGATGTGAGTGCTTCATGTGTCTGGTGTTGCTTTCATGTGTTTGAGCTGACTTTTTTTTTTGGTGTCTAGGTTGTTCTAAGTGACATGTCAGCACCCTGGGATCAAACCTCTGGCTATATGTCCAACACGTTGACCAATCCGTATCGTAGGCTGATGAACACGAGTGGTGTTGCGTTTCGAGACCACGCAGGGAGCATGGTATGTCTCTTCGGGCTGCGTTGCGAGCCGAGTGTCCTTTTTTTTCTTGTTGAATTGGACTCGGGTTTCTGCTTTGAACATGTCGAACATAGAGGAGCTGACAGGGGTAGGACCTTTGTGCGGCGGCGCTACAATTTGCAAGCGATACCCTTAGGCCAGGTGGGCATTTTGTGTGCAAGTTTTACCAGGGGAGCGAGGACAAGAAGTTTGAGGCGAGGCTGAAGAAGATGTTTGCAAAGGTGTTTAGGGAGAAGCCCGAGTCTTCGAGAAGCGTGAGTTTTAATCGCCATTGTCTATTGTTCCGTTTTTCGTCTTGTATGTTGATGGGACTGACGTTGCACAGGAGAGCAAGGAGGCTTATTTTATTGCCTTGAAGCGGAGGGCGGGTGTTGTCGTTGATTTTGAGGACTCTGTATAACATTTGTATGATAGCTTGCTTGGGCAATGTACAGTCTGTATCAATACATATTTACCTACCAAGAAACATACGCCAATATACTATATTAGATGATAATATAGAGCGCAATAGCCAGATACCTGATCTGGTTAAATACTTTTTACTTCTCGCTGTACGAGTGAGACTTTACACAGGGAGTATCAGTCGTGTAAGATATTGAGACGATTACACCACACTTTGCGTGGAGAACATATGAAGAATTTGGTCACGGAGAAAAATCACACTCGAATTGAGAGCCAGCATGCGCAAAGTCATGTATTTTGTCGTGAGATACCAAGGCGCGCCTGTTCCATGCAAAGATCCATTTACTAAGCCTAACCGGCGTCCCTTCCCATTCGCTGCCGCACACCTCACACGGCACAGACCACAGGATATTTTCACCTCCGTTCCATCTACCTAACCGCTTTAAACCTTGAAACCGCGAGAGCGTCTTCGGCCACGAGCACGCTCGAACTTGCGGCCCTTGGAGACAACATGGGGCTTCTACAAGGGGAGTTAGTCGCTGTTTTCAAGGCGGGCAGTTACAACCTTTGGTGTTCATAATTTTCTGCTCATGCAAAAAACTATAACCAGGTATACCCAAAGAATCGAGGTGCGGAGCATCGAGAAATAAAAGAAACTGACCTTGTGCTTGTGGGGACCCATGCCGAAGTGCTTGACAGCCTCACGAGCATTCTTGGGGCCACGCAGGATCAGAGTGTTGCTGCCAGTGGGGGCGCGCAGAGCAAGCTGATCCAGGGTGATGGCCTCGCCGCCGGCCTTGACAATGCGGGCACGGGCAGTGGCGGTGAATCGCAGAGCAGCGACATTGACCTTGGGGAAGGTCAAGAGACGGTTGTCGTCGGTGACGGTGCCGACGACGACGACGGTGCGCTTCTCACCCTCCTTGTTGATGTTGGCGACGATGCGGGACAGCGAGACAGGAGGGCGGTTGATCTTGGACATAAACAGGCGTCGGAGAATGACCTTGTTGAAGTTGGCATCCGTACGGCCTGTAAAACTGTCAGATGTGGCTTCCCATACTCGTGGAGACCTTGGTGTTTGGACGCCAAAAAATCATGCCCTCCAAGTCACAGGGTTGTTAGGAGCTTCGGGATGGAGAGAGCAACATACGGGACAGGAAGCGGTAGAGCTTCACCAAGAGCTTGAGGTAGACATTGTCGCTCTTGGGGTTCTCGCGATGAGTGCCCTTGACGTGGTGGCGGTTAAGATCGATACCTGAAGGTGAGAAAGTTTTCCATCGTCAGCCATTTATTCCAAGCATGCTCTGAAAAGAAAGCCGTCTTCTCCCGGCGTTGAGAAAAATTCCAAATCGTCTCTTCTCAAACAGCCCAATCGCATCCATATTTCAGGAGAACGTAGTTGGCAGAGAAAATTGACAATTTTTGTGGTGGAAAATTCTCGACCGGGAGGCGCTCTCGACCGCAAGAAGAGGCACGCAATCAATTTCCTTTCGCATATTGAAGGATGTAATTGACGCAGTGACCTCTCTCACTCGCATACGCAGGCTAATCGAATGGTGTTTTCACGTACCCATGGCGGCGGTGGTCGCTGGTGTTCAGTTGGCGATGGGGATCTTCGGTTGGAGTTTGCGGGCAGACGAGCGTAGAGGTATTTCGAGAAAATTCAGGGCTTGGGAGTCGTGCGGGATTTTGATTGGCTGACAGGACGGGAGGGAAGGGCGGTGAGTAGAGGCAGTTAGGGTTTACATGAAGCTTGGAGAATTGCAAGGACACACGTGAGTGGGCTGGTGACTTGTGACTTGTGCCTGGTTTCAAATGTGGAGCCGCTCGTCTTGAAACAGGTGGAATTGTCGAGGATGCTGGACGGCCATCTAGGCGGATATTAATAGAGCATAACGCTACGTAATTAAGAGCTGTTTACAACCTGTGCTAGATCAACCTGCAGAGTTGGTCTTTCTTTGGCTGCATGAGCCAAGGATTGGTTGAAAAGACGGACTCCGATTCTTCTCAGTGACCTTACATCACCCGGACACACATGAAGCTAACGGGCAGCATTTATCGATGTCATCGCATGAGCAGGTTGCTCGTCTATTCCAGGCTCCGTCTATCCACGTCGGATTCTGCCCGTACTCGCATAACCCCCTGCCATCATGGTTTCCCTTACGGGCCTTCGGTCTAGATATCTAGATCGAGTCTGAGTCTTGTTTTTTTTTTTCAGCCGCAAATAGCCATCTTTATCCCCCATGTGATTTTACCCATGATCCCAGCAGCTTTTCTTCTAACATGAAACATCCGCCCAAAACAAAATGCCAGCTCAACAAAAGGGTTCGGGTCAAAAAGTGTGAATATACTGAACAAAGTGAACAACCAAAATAATAAAAATTTGGACAATGTAGGGGCCAAGGCAAGATGGAATGGTTGAAATAAAAGGGATGGATATATATGTATGAGACCGCACCCATGTGAATGCATTTCCCCTGGTGTTTTGTTTTCGTTCTCCAAAGGTCTTAGTTTGTACATGCTTTATTACAAGGCCTGTTGGCTCACTTCTGGTTTTAGGCCAGTCAGGAAGTCGCGTGTCATTTCGAAACTCAGCCAGCTCGAGGCCATGCTGGGAGCAACCTTGAGCAAGTTGGGCACGATGCCTTTGTAGAGGCCGCGGATGCCTTCTTGGCCGACAATGACTCGGATGGCGTCAAAAACGCCCTTGTATTGGTATCCCATGCCGGACATAGTGTTGATTTGGAAACGTCGTCGAAGGACGTCACTGACTGAGTTAGCTATGCGTGGCCACTTGTAATACAGCGCATTGGATTCGACGTACAATGGATAGGTGAATGTTTGAGCAACAGCTCCGGAGACGGCACCTGCCAATAGTTTTCTTGATGCGCTGGGATTTTGTTCCCCATCATAGGTTAAGTATTTTCTGACAGATTCATAGACCATGAAGTTTAGACCGACCTTCACACACTGGTTTAGTGCTCTGCATGCGACAAGTTTAAGGGGTTCGTGCAAGTACGTACATATGGAGCAACACCAGCAACAGTCGGGATAATGCCACGATACAATGCTTTCATACCACCCTCGGTCCTGTACATCTGAGCCATGGTGGCCCACATGCCAGGCATATGTGCAGGTTTTGATCCCAACTCTGCAAAGCTGGCCGTCTGAATAGAAAGTCTCGTTCGAACGATGTCAAGTGGGTATGTGAAAAAGACGGAGGTAATGCCGGCAATACCACCACAAATCAGACGGGTAAAGGGAGACAGCTCTTGTCCTGGATACGATTCGAAGATATTCTGCCGCCCCGAAACGTGTTAGCATTCACCGACTATGTCCATCTATTCCCTGTAGCCGCCATAACAACTGCTTACCCGTTTGTAAAAGTTATAGCTGCTAAATTGCACAGCAGAATAAGGCACGATGCGAATGCAATTCGTTCCATTCCCGCGCATGAAGCCCCTCCACCCTTCCTCCTTCCACATCTTTGCCAGCGCCTGTCCAACAGACAACTTGTAGGCATCCCGACCTACGCTCTGTATTTGCAACAGGATTTTTAACCGCTCGAGCGGCGAGACGACTGTTCTCGAGACGGCACCGGCAATACCGCCCGCGCAAAACGCTGCGACAACAGGCTGTGAGATCTTCTCCTTGAACCCGGCAAATCGATCAGGAGCAGGGACGGCCTGCGGTCGGGCAAGGCCGGTGTCGGAAGGCTGCATCTGGGGGTTCAGCGGAGCCGGTGACGGCGATTGCAACTGAGATCCCTTCACCGCAGACATTGTGTGACACAGGCAATGGCCAAGGAATGACCCTTTGAGAAGAAAATCGAAAGCGGCTGCAAAATCGAGTTGTTGCCAAACCCAATTGGGTATCAAAGACCCTTCCCCAAATCACTGAGCCTGAATCCCCCGTATCGCCTGGCAAGCTGGCATCGACTGCGATCAAGGAGAGGGGGAACGCTTCCGAGGCGATGAGTTTCCGTTGGGTCAAGATCCCAGATGGGTCACGTTTCGGAGGGAGCGACGGTGGTGGAGCTTGGACAGTCGAGCGCTGCGAGGACGATGTGAAATAGCAGCAGAAAGCAGGTCGCTATGATCTTGAAGATGAGGGCATCGACAGCATGCTATGAATTTCAAGGAGGACAAGCCGCCTCGTTGGGGTTTTCTGCCGTGGTAGAGTGGAGAGTGCGAGAAGCGGGTATCGTCGAGTGTGTTGGTTCTCGTGAGTGGTGGATACGGGGTACAGCTACTTTTGATTCCGCGGACGGTGAGCTATGCGCCGATGCTGCGATGCTGGTGGCGATGAAATGTCCGGGTTAAAGCTCTGCGGACCAGGTTGCAAAGAAATCCTGTCTTCGCGCTTGGGTGCAGGTATGTTGATGAAGAATACCGAGGGCAGTCGACAGGGGAAAAAGAATGGGAAGAGTCATCAAAGTCCGGGTTGTCGAGGCGTCGTGGTAGACGCGGGAAGGGAGGGCCAGGAAGGAGGCTGAGGGATTGGCGGGCCAGGCGTGAGCACTAGGCTTGGCAGATTACAGTTGTAGCGGCTATGTTGCGTGCTCGTGGCTATTAGTGGACATTTACGGGCCAGTTGAGCAATATTGCATTGACCAGACCAGTCTGCACAGTCAACGGCTGCGTTGGAGAGCCCAGGTGCCGCTGGAAGTGGACCCGGTCAGCCAGCACTGAGACTGAGCATCACCTGCACCAACATGTCTGAGCCTCATAGCCAAAGCCAACACGCAAGACAATGCGTGTCTCTAAATGGGGGACAAACAAGCCAGTTGACACGCTGTTGACATGTCAGCAACGCTGAAAGCCAAGCGCCAGCTCTAGAAACGATCCACAGGGCTGTCACCTCGATGAGCGAACATTGAAGGGCCTGGACCAGTCACGGACTCAGCTTGTGCCAGCGAGCCAGTGAGCCAGCATCAGCCGAGCTCGCATCAACCGAGCCCCTCAGTTTATCTTTTATATCGAGTAAAGCAAAGCCATTAGCATTGCCGCGAAATAACCACAATTGATGCTCCAAGACCTGGAAACACTGGGTCAGTTCACATCCGAGCTCCCTTCTACACTCTGTCCGTTCGCCTCATTTTTATACATGCGCCCGCCAAACCAATGGAATCCTGGGCCAGCACCAACGTCTGCCCTGGCCGACACCAGACCCTCATCTCGGCCAGTACATACGGAGTGGTAGTAGTTGTCCATCTTAGGAAATCGTCAAGCGAGCGAGCTCCCGGCCCTCTCTCGGGATGTCCGTGTGACTATCGATAGTGTTTGGTGCCACTACTGTTTCAGACGAGGCCGTGATTGCTGAGACGACATTCCAACCTCGTACTTCCAATTTACAACCCATCACACTATCGTAAATGCGAGCAAGGCAGCTTTCACGGCCGCAACGCCAGATCAGTTGATCTCCCGCGGACGGAATCAACTACTGCATCGTAGTAGTACACCATTCGCATCCAACACAGATTATTTGTTGTAGCCTGGTCAATTAAATTCAATGTCAAGTATAAGCCTATCCGTACAAATCACTTTCTAACTAGCCTGAGATGTGCTTTTGAGCCTCGGCCTTGTCCCTACTTTTTTTTTTTTAAAGCCGAACAAGCATCTTGTGGGTGGCATTACCAGTATGCCACAGCTCGCCAAGTTTTCTACGACGCTATATTTCCGTCTCGATCGACCGATTGGGAACTAGAACAATACAGAACCATGAGTGGGGAAAACGGGGGAATGGATAACAATCGTGTCGCGGTGCGCAGACATCAGGGAATAAGGATGCCATCAAAATACCCGACAAAATAACTCCGATCATGGCGCTGGATTGATTTGTTACCAAGCTGTTTCTGTCTACTCAGCCACATCAAGATCATCGTCGCGAGCAGGAGGAGGGCTATCGTCGCCTACGTCGTGTCAGCGTCTTGTCCATTGTCGTGAGGGCAACTCGCCATCGTTTGCGCTCACCTTTTCTGTCATCGCCGTTGGTTCCGTTTTCTCGGCGGTCGCGATCATCACGGTCGTCCTTAGCATCACGATCGCGGTCGCTGCAGGGCAAGAATTAGCCACTCGAGCTTCATGTTTGAATAGACGTACTTGGGACTTACCGAGTATCGGGGCTGCGAGAGCGGTCGCGATCTCGACGGCTGTCGCGGTCGTAGTCGCGGTCACGGTCACGGCGGTCATCCTTGCGCGGAGAGTAGTCTCGTGTACTCCGTCGAGGCGACGGGGACCGGCCACGACGGGGAGATCGGCCGCCACCACTGCCGCTGCCGCTGCCGCTACCACCACCGCGACGGTCACGGTCACGACCGGACTCGAATCGCCATGATGCTGAAGGAGGAGTTCTGGCCCACTGCGCCGTGTTAGAAAAATGTCCTGTATTTGTTCGCAGGCAATCACGACGGAAAACGCACCTCAATTTTCAGGATATCGTCACGACCGATACGCTTGTTATGCATCTCATAGTAAGCATCATCGGCGTCTCGTCGATCCTCATACTCGACGAAGGCGAAGCTGGCGCAAAACGTAAGTATATGTGCCGTGGTAGAAAACAAAAATACGAGTACCGTGTCAAACTTACAGTCGGCTAGATGAAGACCTCGGAGCTGGAATATCGCAACGGACTAGACGTCCATAGCTAAAGTAACATCTTGTCAGTATTTCATCAGTAGAATAACGTACGCTTAGACACTCTGGTTGATAAATTCGATATCGAGCTTGGCCACCGAGGGCTGATATCAGAAAACGTATCACTTGCACGCGCCGAGGTGCAGGCTAAATATCGACCCGAACGAAGAGCGCTTCTCGAGGCGAGCTAGCATACCGACGACCGACGTGAAAGAGGTGGGAGAGAGCATGGGGAGGGACAAATTGGGGCGGGTAGGCGGTTGCGACGAAGACGAAGGCACGACGAGACGACGGGGGCTGATCTGGAGCGACACCGAGCCTAGGCAAGAGGACAGGATGCCGGGAGGATCTATCTCTCGTCGGCGAGACAGGACGGGGTGGTGGACGGAGAGGCGAGGTACGGAGGACGGCAACGAAGGCGAAGAGCGTGAGCGTGGTTGACATACCGTTCGAACTCGTAGGCGAGATCGCGAGCGCGGGTGCCGTGGCTGAAGCCGGTAACGTACAGGGTGTTGCCGCCGCGAGACATGATTGCTGTGGGTGCTGCGGTTGAGGCAGTTGGAGAAGCGGGCTATAGATCTAGAGCTAGGATTGCAGGACTGACGGAACAGTTCTGGACAATGCGCCAATTGGAGAAGAAGAAGTTGATGATGATGCAACCGCTGATGAGGCTGGCAGAGTGTATGGTTCAGCCGTGGTTGGCGGAGTGGTGAAGCAAAGTATCAGTGTCGACAAGATTGGCTGTAAAGTTTTGCCTGCTGACGTAATCATCGAGGCGAAAAGTGGAGCCGTGTCGCCTGACTGGTTGCCGAGTCTTGCAGCGGAAGCCCGTCAAGTTGATGTCATCGGGTGTGCATTGAATGGCCAACATTGAAGCACGTTAGAGAATGTAAAAAAAAAAAAAAAGGCGTTGGAAAGTGTGAATTTCGGCATGCAATGTATCATTTAAAATTTCCATCTGTAAAATTCTGTTATTAAAAATGTAGAAATCATTTACGGGCAGTGATTTGCTGCCCGTTTGTGAATAAACGCTCGCGGCCAAACCGGACATGATCCACAGAAGCGTCAAGTACTCTCCAAGTTGGGAGTACCGGCGATGTCGAAACTTGCAACATTGAATCATGACTTACACAGGCTGGACGCAGGGAAGACGGACAATGCAACAGTCCGACGGACACGAATAATCCACAGCGCGAGCGTGGATTGTTTTCGCGGGGATTATGAATAATCGGGGATATATGTTAGGTTCGGGATCGTGCGGAGCTTGAAGTTAGCACTCTACCAGTTATTTTGGTTCTGTCAACCTGCCAAGTTCACGGGTTGCTCGGATCCCAAGCTCCAGCTCGGACACCGCAGAATACCACAACCTCCGACTGCCGACTGTACATGTTTAAACGAGGCACTAGACCATGAGACCCTACATCATCGCAGTTTTTCCAGTCCTTCCGAGTGAAATATAAAAAAGCTGCTGCCACGAAGACCACAACACTGCTGGTACCATTGCGGCGTCATATTTAACGACATAACTTCAGAACAAGAGTGCCTACCACAACTTAGCCTTTGAAACATCCCGCAGCTTCCGCATCGTACTTCCTCAAACCACGGCAACGTCATACAAGACACAAGCCAAGACCAGCTGCCGACATTGGAATACTAATCGGCAGGCACGACCTGCAGGTGGGCTCAAGTTGCCTGGCATTACCATCACGCCCACTTTTGATAAATCATACACGCTGGGCCCCTTTCTGGCCTCCAATGCGCTAGGTTGCGCTGACGCAAAGTCGAACTTTGCACAGTCGCCTTTCTCTGTCATTCCCCCCCCAAACGACGAGGATCATCATGAGGATTGGCGCTATGCACAGTACCGTGACGCAGACTCCAGATGAGCGGGCCCTCAGCGCCCCGCCCACGCGGCATGTGGATGCTGTCAACGGCGGCCCCCCGGATCACCATCCTCGCCAGACACAGCCAAGGTCTCTCGGCGAAGCTCTCCGTGAGGCTGGCGTCTCGCTGGAAAGCTCCGGACCCGCTTCCGAAACACCCAGCGAAGAAGATTACGATGAAAATGTACGCCCAGCATATGCCATCGGGGGCCAGGATCAACAACATCAGCAACAGCAACCGCAACTGTTGCAGAGGAGAAAGAACGAGAGGCGTATAGGCAGAAAGGGGCTCGTCTCTGCACAAATTGACTCAACCATAGTTCGCGATGATGCAGGCGGAGTAAGAATATATCCTGCAAACGATCAGGCCCTCCAAGAGCTTCTTCGACGAACTTCGGAAACGGCTAAACATCCAGACAAGGCAGCTAAGCAGAAGCGCAAGTTCCGTGACCATTTTTTTACTCACCAGTTTTCGGCCTTTGATCCCCATAATTCGGCCGCCGCAAATAGTCCTTTTCATGGCTTCTATACTCTCTTTTGGCTGGCTGTGGCCCTATTTGTCCTAAAGATTTCCGTGAATAACTGGAGAGCGCATGGCACTCCATTGGGGTCAAACGAGATTATGAAGACCATGTTTCATCGGGATGGTAGGGCAAGCCGGCAAATCGTTTTTAAGAAATTATTGTTTTTGCTAACCAGGCTTGGTAGTAATTGTGCTCCTGCTTTCGGATGGAATCATGTGTGGACTCACCGGTGTAAGCTGGCTCATTCAGAAGTTGGTATACCACCGCGTGGTCGATTGGGATCGAAGTGGGTGGATTATACAAAACGTATGGCCTCAAACGTACAAAGTCCGAGGCTACATTCAACTAACTCAGAGCGGCAGATCTGGCAGACCCTCTTCATCACCGGCATTATCGCCTGGACCCATGTCCGTGACTGGCCGTGGACTCATACCGTCTTTTTCGTGCTACATGGCATTGTCATGCTCATGAAGCAGCACTCCTATGCCTTTTACAACGGCCATCTCTCAACAGTCTATTTGGAACGCCTGTTTCTCCTGTCCAAACTGAAGCAACTCGACCTTGTCCATCCATCCGAGGAACCATCATCTGCTGTGCCACAGGTGTCTAGCCTATCAACCGACCACCTCAGAGTCCCTCCAACTGCCATGGAACGCCGCCATTCCCTGTCGCAAATTCCTAAAACGGAAGAGACAGACATTGATAGGATTGCAAAGGCGATTGCCTCGCGTGAGCCTCTGAACGACGAACAAATCGCAGTATTTGAACGCATCATCAAGTGGGAAGTGGATGCATTGGCAGACGAACTCAGAGGAACGGCCAGCGATCCAAACAAAGCGTATCCGAATAACCTGACATTCCTGGGTCATTACGAATGGATACCCCTGCCAACGCTGGTCTACGAACTGGAATACCCGCGCTCTCAAGAAATTAGTTGGAAATATGTTGCCGAAAAGCTGATCGCCATGGTTGGCGTGCTTTTTGTCATGAACCAGGTGGCACAGTACTCCATATGTACAGCGTCCCCCCCTTTTCAAGCTTTCAAGCCGCCCTCAACAAGTCTAACTCCTGTACAGACCCCGTGGTAATGAAGACGGTGCAGATGAAGGAGAATGGACTGCCGCTGGCCGCTCGATTTCGAGAATTTCCGCTGCTTTTGCTTGATCTCATCTTCCCATTCATGATGGAGTATCTGGTACGTCCGACTTCCATGTAGTGACCTGTTGCATATTCACCCGTACTCTTCGTGTTCGCAACTAAAACCCGACAGCTTGTCTGGTATCTCATCTGGGAAACCATCCTCAACGTTCTTGCCGAACTCACGTATTTTGCTGACCGCAGTTTCTACGACGCCTGGTGGAATAGCGGTATGTTTGCATCTGTTCCTCTATCAGCATAAACACCCCGTCTCGACCCACAGCTAACGGGTGCAGTATCCTGGGACCAATTCGCACGCGACTGGAATCGTCCCGTACACGTCTTCCTCCTCCGCCACGTCTACCACTCGTCGATATCATCCATGAAAGTCAACAAACATACTGCCACTCTGATAACCTTTTTCTTGTCCGCATGCATCCATGAGCTCGTCATGTGGTGTTTGTTCAATAAATTGAGGGGGTACTTGCTTGTTTTGCAAATGTGTCAGCTACCTGTATGTATTGGTTTGTCGTCTTGTTTCAATTTTGATTACACAGCTAACACGAGCTACAGTTGGTCCGACTCAGTCGTACAAAATGGCTAAAAGGACAGAAAAAGCTAGGAAATCTAATTTTTTGGCTGGGTATATTCACGGGCCCAAGTCTACTGTGCAGCTTGTATCTAATCTTGTAAAATTTGATTTGGAGCATTCATTGGGCATGGACAACAAATGGAAGGCGCTTTTTTTTTCCCGGGGGGGAAAGGTCTTGGGCAATGGAAAGTACAGAACATATAGGAAATTGAACTAGTGCATAATATATGTATTTTTACTGAAACTGCGCTTTTTCTCTCAAACACATCCCACGCTCATCGTAGCCCGGTAAATCACACTCACAACTTTTCATGTGTCGCCATCAAAGAAGCTAGATGCTATTAGCCAAAATCCAAGCGTCTCAGGTTTCACGTGAGGAAATTCTCGACTTACCAACAAAAGAAGTCACCAATTTATAGCGAACTTGGCAAATATCCTCCGGAACCAACCAAATAGTCGCTCCCATCTTTCTGGCAATGCTGATGCTCAACTTGGCATTCATGTAGGCCCTCTCATCATTGTCGCCAGCCGTAACAAGTTCATCATCGACGTAGCTGCTCTCCATGCCCTTCAGCACATTCAAAAGGAATACACCGGATGAGATGGACCGGTCCTTGAAGCTGCGTATGGAAGATGCGTGGCCGCCCTTGTGAGCCATCTTGTTGGCCCAGTCGACCATGATCTCGTCCGTCATTTCCTTTTTCCCAAGCTTCTGAGCGAGCGAGGCTAGCGTTACGTTGATGTCCTTGCGCATAAGCTGCCATACGAATCCCAAGGTAAGGGTTCTATCGCCTCTTGTAATATTGGAGCCTTCGGTGTTTCGGAGGATCATGCCATGCTTTTTACCAATATCAATCACTTGATTTGTATTCTGGAGAGCCTGGAAAAGCTCCATGTCAAGAATTCTCTCCAGATGTTCGCTTTCGGACTCCTCATCGTCTGGGTTGACAATCTGTGGACTGTTGTTTTTGGTGGGGTCGTTGTCGAGGGATCTGGGTTTGCGCACACCACGCCAAAACACGCTGCCTTTGATAATCTTGTCGAAGGCTTGAAGCAGGACATACCCGTTGCCAATATCATTGAAGAAGGAGACCACAGGCGGCCGCACATCAAGACTGTTGAGCCAGAGAGTGAAGACGCGGGCTTCGCGGTCGCCCTCGGCGTCGAAATCTTCCACTTTGACCTTTACCTTCTCTTCGTCTGTGATGGGTTCGAGAGCAGGGTGGTTGTTGAAGAGGTTAGCGACGAAGGCGAGGTTGAGCTTGGAGTTACCGCCAACAAGAGATTTTGGTGTCAAGAATTTGCGGCAGCCGAGTTTGTCAGCTTCCTGAAGGACTTGTTCAGCGCGTTGGAGATTGTCTCTTGTGTCGAGGGGCGCGCGCGTACAGCCGTACTCGCGGCCGATCTGGCTGAGGAGGACGGTATAATTTTCGCCATCTTTGATGTCATCTGAGAAGTTGTTCACACTACGGAGATAGGAGTTAGAGGATTCCCAGTTGAGGTACATGGTGGGTATGGACAAACCTTCTGGGCCAGTTAGCGGCCTTGAGGTGGTAATTAAACCATCGCAAGAGGATCTGCTCAGGGGGCAGACGGAGGAACTTCTCAAGCTCCTCGCCTTTTCTCAGGAGGCGGTACAGTTCGGGGTGGAGTTTGATGTCGATTTTACTCAAAAGACCGCGTCGAATGATCTGCCAGATGAGACCGAGGATGAGATGCTCACGGACCTCAATGATGTCTCCAGCACCAATATTGACGACGGAACAGCCAATACCCTTGGCGGATTCAATGACAAGGTTGTTGTTCTCGGTCATTTGAAACGCATTGAGAGTCTTGGTCTTGCGGCCAGCTATGTTGAGGATTCGTTCGTCGATGGTGTCAGGCACACTATCGTTGATCAGCTTGGCCAGGACCAAGCCATCCTTGCACTCGTCGAACATTTGGAAGGTATCGGTGGGGAAGGGAAGCCGGCTGCCAATGTCAGCATCACCATCCAGCACCGCGTTGATGTGGCGAGTGAATTCGGTTCTTTCATCCTCGTCGATAGTGTGGGTGACGTTTGCGCTAGACCCTTGAACCTGAATCTTGCCGCCGACGCTGCTCTTGGATACATGACCTTGTCCGCGCCCGCCAGTGCGTTGAGCTACAACGCCACTGGGGCTAACTGGCTGAGGGCCAGTGGATAGTCGCTTCTGAGCCGGCGAGGAGTCGCGAAGTTTGGTAATGAGCTGGAGCTTGCGATTAGCAAATATTGGGAGTGGCGGGATGGAACCAGAGCACGGGAATTTGAGTGACGGTTGGGTGTAGGGATGGTAGGACAAGACGCACCCCGAGGTAATCTTCAAGCTCTACACGCCGCGAAGAGTCCAGCTCAACTTCCCTGAGAGCCTGTCGCACCACATCATATGGCTGATTCTCGCTCTGTTGAGTGGCCTTGATGGCGGTAGCTTCGTCCAAGTAGCCCTTGTCGTCGATATCGAGACGCTGGAAGTTGCCAGAGAGCGAGGTAATTTCATCTGCCAACTGGGGGAATTTTCTGGATTCAGCAATGACGGCGGTTAGCAAAGCGCATCAACATACAATGGCGTAGAGAAACAGCAGGGTTGGTAAAAAAACGCACTTTCGCAATTGGAGGACATTCATGGTGGGGGTTAAGCTGAGGGGTTGCGATGGCCAACCCACGGAATACGCGGAGGGAGAAAGAAGCCTGTAGTCTGTGACAAGCTGAGTGAAGATGTGAGGAATGCAACGGCTTGGGTTTTGGGGGCAGGCCTGTTGTTCTTTTGAGAAAGGGAGGAGGAGGGGAGAGAACGGAGAGGATGACGAGGCAGGGGAAGATGGCGTGGTGACGATGACGACGGAAGGCTTCAAATGGCTGAAAGACACAAAGGCATGCTCATCAGTTATGCGCGGGAGCTGCGCAAGTGTGTCAAGTGGGCAAAGCGGGGCATGATGTAAACCTGAGTACTCCCGGCACAGCATGGCCCCACTTGCAGGTCTTTCGTGCCTGAGCTGGTCGCTTTACAGCCCGCGGTTCGCCCTTTCGGCCCTGTCAGGCGGCAGGTATGGCCTGGCCTTGGCAGGCGACGGGGCTCGGAGGTCCCAGATGTCAGAGGCTATGCAATGAGTGGCAGAGCCAGAGACTGGCCCAGGCAGAAGCAAACATTGTGACGCACCTCATTGCATCAGCGTAACATGACGAGGTTACACGTTGCTTGCACCCTGTTGACGCCAAGGGTCAACCGATATTTTAGTCAGCATCATTATGCCTACCCGCAACTATAAGATTAATAGCTCTGTTCCCACCAGACAGTTGCGACATCCAAGCCAAGTGTTTGATGGACTAGGCGCACACGATATTTGGGCTTTTACTAGCAATATCAGTCACTGCCTTCTTTCTACAGACTCAAGTCATCATGATTCATCTTAGGCCAGTGGCCTGCCCCAAAATCTATCATACTCCGAGTAATGCGAGGGCATCAGCAACAGTCTATCATTCCAACCACTGCATATCCAATAGCTGAGCTCTTCATCATCCGATCCGCTTCCCCGCAACGACTTTTGAAAGCGTCCAGTGACTGGAGTATCCAAATCACACACAAGCTCGTGTCCTCGCAAAGCGTACTCATCGTGAAAGAGCATAAGCCATACTCCGCCCGGAATAGTCACATTGAATTCATCTCTAGGCCCAAGACCGCGCAGCATGTCTTCGATGGGGCCCAAGACGTTGCGCTGAAAATATGGAAGACGGTCCTGTTCGGGATGTTCGTCTCCGGATGGTACCACCCAGAATTGTATGCAGACGTGTAGTTTTTGAACGTTTGGGCACGCTTCCGAGATGCCTCGACACAACTTACGCAGTATCCTGTCCTCATCGTGCTCCGCGGCCGATGGATTCCACAGCTCTTGGGCCAGGGGATGTTGGTCGAGGAAACGTTCGTGATCGCCCCAGAGAAGCTCAAGGCTGGTAATTTGCCGCAGGAAGCGAGGGTATATCAACTCGGGCAGGTGAAGCAGTAGGTCCAAGCTGGAAATGTGAAATGTGCTAGTCGAGAAGAGAGCCTCGAGGCCCTCGGCGCAAGCACTGCGACATGACAGGAGCCAACCCATGATGCCAATGAAGCACGAGTCGCTCCCAGTACCTTGTTGCGTTCCTGTATTGCACCAGCAGACGGTGCCTTTGATACATTCGTCGTCATGTAGCCCAATCGTGCTACCAAGGTTCCACCAGTTTTTCTCGCGCTCTGCGGCCGTCCACTCTGCGCGTCGGTGGCATACGCAGCCGAACCATTGCCAACGCCTCGGCTGACTCGTGTCCGGGACTAATTTGATTCCGAGGCCACAGTGTCGAGCGTCGTCTGGCGAGCTGCTGGTTGAAGCTGTGAGACTCGGCCGTCTTACCAGCGGGTGGTCAAAGGCCAGGTCAATGTGGATGGTGCGGTAGCCGAACGCTTCAGCGAGAATGATGCGACGGATTTCCAGAGGCAGACAATGAAACAAGCCGTATTTTGTTCCTGAGACGGTCAGCTTTTCAAAAATGCCATCCTCCGCTGTGAGGACTGGAAGTGGAAGATGTGGAATGGGCCGCGGTTGTATAGCTGGACGCGGCTGTTGACGGCGACGAGGTTTAGCCTTCTTGCGGAACACCCTGCGGAGTAATTTGCGGAAAT